GCGCGGGTCGTGCCCGAGGGCGCCGGGGTCCCGCGGCGCTGCCAGCCCCGCCTCGTTCTCTGCCCGCCGCCGCCGAAGGCGAGAGGTAGCCAGCCTGAGCCTGCAGCGCTCGGAGACCGAACCCGACCGCATCCCCAGGGACCCTCGCGCAGGGCACCCCAGGGATCCCCCCTGTTGGGTGGAGTGCAAAGGTGGATCAACGGAAACATTTCTAGTTTACGGCGTGACCCGCGCGGAGGAGATGCGGTGCAGAGACCCTTAGGGACAAAGTGCCTCTGCCCTTCTTAAAGGGACGGAGACCCCGGTGCGGCCCCGGTGTGCCGGACCTTCGGAGTCACGTTTATGCTAATGAGGGTATAAGCAATCCAGGTGACGGATGCAGCCGGGATGGACGGCTGGGCACTGCCCTGCACCAGTCAGTCCCGGAGCCAGGCTAAGGAGAGGTCCTAAGGAGAGGTCGGGATGTTTGCTTACCTTTTCACCTCCGAGGGAGTCCTGGTTTAACCCTGTTCACGGCCAACCTGGTGGTTTGAGCTGTGGGAATGTGTAATGCTCAAGATTGCAGGAGCTGACAAGACTCCCTTTAATCCAGGGCCCTCATTTTGCAGGTGGAGAAACTGAGGCCCAGAGAAGGTCACCCAGGTACACCAGGGCTCCAGTTCTCCCGTCTGATGGCTCCAAAATGATGTCATGTACACTGGTCTCTACTTTGCAACTTAAGATCCTTTGATCTTTAAGCAAAAATGAGGAAACTGAGGCGACGGAAGGGCCCATCTTGCTATCCAGGGCAGCGACATGCTCCAAGAGACAAGAACTGCCTGGAAATGAGGTAACTGCCACTAGAGCTGGTGTTCCTTTGTATTTGGTTGAGCAAGACCCAGAATGTGACTTACCTTAACGTGTGAGAACTGAAACCTGAAAATTTTTCTAAGAAATCTGACAGCCCAAATTTTTAATAATCTCCACTTGCTACCTGTATATTATATATAGCTGCGCTTTGGAAGAGACTATTTTTTCCCCTGTGTCCTATGAGAAAAATAGGAAGCAAGGCCAGAGGCTTTTTTGGCCAGGAGGTCAAACTCTCAGCCTGAGACCCTTGGATAGGGAGGGGTCAACAGCTGTTGACTCTTCCTCTGTTTGAGGCCACAGTTGCAAAGTAGCATAATCCGGACTCAAACTTGGGTCTTACTCTGAAGCCTGTGCTCTGTCCACTCAGCCACACACAATGATACCATAGAATTGACTGCAAATTGTCCCTTCAGGATCAAGTTATTTGCTCTTTCCCTCTTTGGTCAGGTAGCAATCCAGAGACCAACTCTTCTATGAGCCAGTTAAATGTTTCAGACCCACACAATTATAGACACCATCACCAACTACACAACCCCTTCACTGTCCTGTGTGTGTGTGTGTGTGTGTGTGAGAGAGAGAGAGAGAGAGAGATGTGTCTAGGGGATGGTGGGAGGACCCAGAAGTTGACCTGGGCTAAGATGTTTATTTTGGGTATCCCTAGACTAAAATATCTCAAATTACACTTTAAGTCATTCTGCTGCTCTGTAAGCACTTAATTATCCTGCAAGTAAGGGAGGCCCAAATAGAAAAACTGAAGGACATCCTCATTTAAACCCCATCTTTCAACCAACAACAAATCTTCTCCAGTTCCCTCCCTTCCCATCTCTGCTTCTAGGATCAGGAAGGAAGATCAGCAGATCCTGGCAACAGGCCAGGTGACCTGGGACAAGAAAGTCCTCTTCGGGATCTGGAAATTTGTTCCCTGCATGTGGGTTGCACATGGTAGAGTTGTCTTTGCCTTTTTCAAAGGTTTAGGAAGAAAAGTTATATTTCACAACTTATTTTTTTCATTTCACTTTCAGCAGGCCATGGGATCAGACCCACTTTTCCATGTGATACCTCTGCTGGGGTGTAATTTGCAAGCCAAAATTATTGTAATGCTATAGTATTATGCCAAGAACTTCCAGCACACTTGTGTATCTGCTCAACTCCTACACAGTCTGTATTTAATTAACAGCATCCCAGCGATCTGGTGTTTTTCCCAGTTTAGAGATGGGGTAGCTGGCCTAAGGTGGTATTTACTTTAAGCAGGCAAAAAACACATGAGTATTTACCTTTGGGAACTAGTAGAGACACATCTTACAAGACTCAATCAGAGTAATCATTGTGAAAGGAAACAAAAAAGTTTCCTAAGGATGACGTTGGAGAAGTAGTGTGTCAATTCATTAGAGGAGACAGGACCTTGCAGGAGAAGGATCAGAGGACTGAGGGTTACAGCTGGACAGACTCTCTTTTTCAGAGACCCAGCCTCCCCGTTTCCAGAAGGAAAATTGGGAGCAGTGAAGGGACAAGATTGAATCAAGAAGCATAGCTTGGATTGGCATCCAATCCCTTGACTTCACAGACCCAACGCTGTGCCCATCATTTTTGGCATTTTTTTTTTTTTTGTGTCCCCTTCCCACCTCCTATCTTCCTCTCTGTGATTTTCTTATTAAAAGGATTAGGTATGGCCCTGTTTCTGTTTCTGCCGTCTCTCAGCTTCTCACTTTAGACCAAGTTGGGGACATGGCAGCTCTTTTCTCTGTAACTCCCAGTATCTGGAGGTAGACTATACATTGATAGAGACCTGGAAAAATTGTGCCACCAACCAAACAGACTCATCTACTTCTTTCATTTCAGTCCATCAAATGTAATGTTAAGTCCCCCTGCTGTGTGCCAGGCCCCAGGGCAGGAGTCTGGGCCAGGAGCACAGATTTGGAAGTCATCAGTGCTCGGTGAAGATCTGAAGCAAAGCCATCACTCATCATTGACACCTTCGTTCATGACTGCTCCATCCTATCCATCAGCGAGGAGTATGCAGAACCCTACCACGCCTCACACCTCAGCTGCTTCCACCTGTCCGTAACTTTTGCCTGCATCATTGAAGGAGTCTCTTACCCATTTTTCTGCTTCTGTCTCAGCAGCCAGTGATCCTATTAAAAAGAATCTGTTTATGGCACGCTGCACAAATTCCCCATTCAATCCCCATTTCTCTAATCATACATGCCCAAATCCTCTCAGTGGCTCTTGAGTTCTTACATGATCTAGTCCCCTTAAACTCCTGAGCTCATCTTGTCCTGTCTTTTCTCCTGCTCCAACCAGGCTTCCTCTTCCTGTTCCCTGAACACTCTCTCACCTTGGGGGTTTGGCCTTTGCACTAGATCTCCTAGCCCGAAATGCTTTCCCCCAGCTGTCTCCATGACTCACCCTTCACAACTCAGTGAGGCCTCCCCTGGACGACTATCTAGAGTTGTCCTCACTCAACAATCAGTATCCACTCATTCCCATTTCACACACAGCATGTTTTACTGACTTTTCTTGTTCATTCTTTGTCTTGCCCCATGATGGGAAAGAGATCTTTCCTATTTGTTGACTGCATATCTCCAGCATCAGGACCAGTGGCTGACACCTAGTAAGCACATGATAAATATTTGTTGAATGAATGAGTGAATATGAGTGGTTGATCATGAAGGGTAGCATGGCAGAGGGCTAAAGCTTGACATTTGTCTGCCTCGGAACTGGTGCTAGTGGCTATTAGCTTTGGTCTGGAGGTGGGAGATGTCAGACTTGCTGTGTTCTGGGTTCTGTTCCCAGGCCGTGTCTCTCTCTTATTTATTTTTTATTGTTGACATTATTACAGATGTCCCCAATTTCCCCCCTCTCTTTGCCCCCCTCCACTCAGACCCCACCCACCCTTCCCTCTGGCCCTAACCACATGGTTGTCTGTGTCCATGTGCTGTGCATATATGTTCTTTGGCAATTCTCTTCACTTTCTTTCGACCCGTCCGCCCCACCTACCTCCCCTTTGACACCGGTCAGTCTGTACCATGTATCCATGCCTCTGGTTCTGTTTTGTTCATCAGTTTATTTTGTTCATAAGATTCCATATATAAGTGAGATCATATGGTATTTGTCTTTCTCTGACAAATTTCTCTTAACATTATAATCTCCATGTCCAGCCATGCTGTCGCAAAAAGCATAGACCACGTGTCTCTTAAGCAGAGAAAGCAGAATGAGAGATTCTTTCCGTCTTTTCAGCATCCAGAGGGGGCTCCAGGAAGGTTGTGGCATCCAGGCAGCCCCTTCCACACAAGTCCCAGTCATGCTGACGTGCAGGCCTGTCTGTGGTGTCGCTGAGCCAGCTGCTGTTCTCTCCAGCTCCAGCTCAGGTACAACTAATCTTAGGAATCTCATTACTGGTCGAAAGATAATCTTCTGTATCTAGATTAAAGGCTGTGTTTTGACCATTACAGCGCATTGAGCATTGAGCCGACAGTTTAATTGAGCTGTTTATGTCGCTGCCTTGATCTCTTCCCAGAGAATTTACAACTAATTCCAAGTGTCTCTACGAATTAAGTGGGCCTCTCCCAACATGCTTTGCCTGTAGTTTGCCTGTGCCAAATCCCACTTGTCCTTGTGTTACCCAATTATGGGCTCTTGCTCACAGCTGTTTCTGGCTGGTACCACTTCCAGCCCACTTCCTCCCTGAGGTGGCCTTAAGAATATGGCCCTGAGAGTGGCCATATCCCCAGGACAGCCTCTGTGATACCTGCAACAGTAGAAAGGTGGGTGGAGGTGAGAATTGGGAAGGGAGCAGAGAAGACATAGATCATACTGACCCCTTTGAAGTCACCTCCAGGCAACTGACAATAACCTCCTAACAAGAAGAGTTTACAAGTATCTTTAGCACAGTTAAGTGTGATGGAAGGAAAAGAGTTCTGGATGGAGGTCAAGACTTCCTCAGTGTCCTCTGGGGCCCTTGGTGTTGCTATTTATAAAATGGGACCTGGCAGATCATTGTTTCTCATTCTGTGTTATGGACATGTCTAAGGGTAGGGGGTTGGGAAACAATAACATTAAAGGACATCCATGCTATATTTGGGACATGCTTATAAGAAAATATTATTAGTTGTTTATGGAAATTCAAATTTAACTGGGTGTCCTGTATTTAATCTGGGAATTTCACTCAAGTGTCCATGTAGGGGATAAAGAGGGCTCCCCACCCTTAGCCCAGCCTCTGCTGATGAAATGGACAAGAGCAGATACTCTCGACACCCTGCTGAACATTAGAATCACCTGCAGAGCTTATACAATGCCCAGTGACCAGTCTGTATTCCAGACCAATTAAATCAGAATCTCTGGGGTAGAGTCAAGCATTTGTGTTTCTGTTTTTCTTTTTGTCAGAATCTCCCTAGGTGAGTCCAATGTGGAGCCCAGTTTGAAAATCACTGGACTGGAGCAAGGGTTTTCAAAAGTGATGTCCCTAGGCCAGAGCATCCGCTTCACCTGAGAGCCTGTTAGAAATACAAATTGTCCTTTTGACCTTCAGCTCTTCAGAACCAGAAAGGCGGGGGGAGGGGAGGGACAGGACGGGCTGGAGTCTGTGGCTCAGCAAGCCCTCCAGGTGATTCTGCTGTAGCTAAAGTCTGACAGCCAGTTTGAAAATCCCTTTGCTGAGAACAGGTCTCTGTCCTTTGGGGCCTGATCTACAAATGGGTGCTAGGAAAGCAAATTAGTTGAATTGCTTTGCAGTGATGCATCTCAATGGTCAAACTACCTGTCCTCTGGCAATTGCAGTGTAAATTATGGCTTTTCAGTCCCAAACATCAGTCTGACAGCACTCTTGAAGGCCACTATTGGTACCTGGAGCTTATTGGCAGTAGAACTAGTTAGGCCAGAAGAGCCAGAAATGGACCATAGGGGTCTAAGGACATAAAGTTCCCTCAGGTCAGGCATCAGGCAGCCTGAAGGCCCAGCAGAAGGGGCTTGAAGCATGTGGGCAAGGAGGAAGCAGAAAGTGTGGCAGAAAGGAAACAAGGTCAGGGGGCAGTCGTCAGCCCAGGTCCCCAGGAGGCTGGGGCGGTGAGAACCAGGGATATTTCAGGGCTGCTTAGATGGAGTCGGCCGCTGCTTCTGTGAGGCCTGCAGACTGGAGGAGGCAGGTGCTTGTTTTTTTTGCTTTGTTTTGTGTTAAGCAAGTGGTGATCAAGAGCGGAGCAATGTTTTTCTGCAGCTGAGGAGGACTTAAATATAAGCCCACTAGCACCATCGGCTTTCTTTCTATGGGGGTCTCACAGTCACAGGTTGATTGGTTTCAGGAATGCCAGGTGCCCAGGATGTGTGACTCTCCTGTCCTTGAGAGACATCTGAAGGGCAGACAGTAGGGGCTGTGCATTATTCATTTCCGTCCACCCCCAGGATGCACTCAGTTCTTGCCAAATGCTAGGCCTTGAGTGACTGTGCGTGGAATTGAATCCAGGAGAGATCTAACAAATCATGGCTCTTAAATATGAGTTATCACCTCAAGCCTTAATGAACCACACCGCCGAGAAACCACAGACATTCCCCATGCAAAAGGGCCCTTGTCACCCTTGGAGAATCATTGCAGACTTTCTCCTCGCTGCCTCCCTTTCTCCCTTCCTTGCACGAGGCACTGTGCAAGGCCAGATGTTAGACCAGACTGGCCCAGCTCCACCCCGGGGGCTTTGCACGCTAGAGGGGACAATTGAAACACAAGGGATAAAGACAGCAAACAGGGACACCTAGGAGATTACACTTACCTGGGTTCCAATGTGAATGACTTTGTGTGCTGGTGTGTGAAACTATAAATCTAAAGAGTTTAATTCAATTCCCCTCTTCAAAATAAACTTTGGAGTTCCTGAAAAGGTGAGATATTACTTTAAGTCGTACAGTTGGGAAAATGGTTTATTTCTTCAGTGTTAAACCACACACACACAAATGCTTTTCCGATGATGCAATTTCCATCCTTTCACTTTGGCCGTAATATTTAAAGACGATTTTTAAAAGTCACTTTCCAGGCATAATTTTCTCCTGATATACTTTTTTCCCTCCTTCAATCAAAATGGTTATCACGCTGCCATTTGAGGCTTTTCTAAGTGGGATGCGTTGGTCCTTGCCAGAGCCAGGGAAGAGTTAAAGTTGCAAATGGCTCCCTGTCAGCTGTCTCAGTTTGAGGGTGGATTGGGGGTGGAGGCTGCCCAATTGTCTGTCCTTCTCTCCCCCTCCCTAGGGCTGAGTGCAGGATGTAGAGCCTCCCAAAATAACTCAGACCCTGTGGGTAAATGCCTGCTGGGAGTTGGTTTGGAATAGAGGATTCTCAGGATCAGAGGCAAACTCGTGTGGCCAAATGATCTGATCTCCTGGGCTCCAAAGAGGAGCCCAGCCACCTTCTAGGCCAAACGTTCACTAACAAGCCCTTAATGGGCTGCAAGGAAACCAAGTGACTGCTGTGGCTTCTTTCACCCAGGTGGCATCTGACAAAGTGACCTTCTCCAGAGAGGATCCTTAAGGACAGTGGGCATGGCTTGGAGAGACACTGCGTTCTGGCAGAATCTAAGTGAGCCTCTCGGTCGTTAGAATTTCTGGAGACGCTGTAGAAGCACCACTTACTGCATGTGTTCAGAGGAGGGAACTATTTGGGTTATGCAGCTTCATAAGTGGAGGGGCTCAGAGCCCACTCCGATCCCTTTAGTACTAATGTGCAGATAGTGGTGGATTTGGGGGCTCTAGGCTGCGGCTCCCTTCACCCCCACGGCTGGGACAGCATTTCATTCACACGCTTTGAGTCTGGAGCTAGGGAAGCCTAGAGAGAAGCATTGCTTTCTCCTTAAATCTTCTGCTTTTATCTCTGTGTACAACTCGATGCGTATTTCCGTTTGCTCCCATTTGTGGATGTTTTTGTGGTGGCTATAACCTTTTTATGTTATTATTAGGCTCTAAGCACAGGAATTCACTTTTCCAGTGAACCAGTTTTGCTATAAAGTATCACATCCACAATGGCCACAGTGAGGGTCAGGAGCACTCAGACTTGAGCATGCCTCAGAGTCGCCTAAAGACTGTTAGAATGTACACTCCTGACACCACTGCCGAGAAGCCCACTCAGATCCTCGTGGGGCCCGGGAGTCTGCAATTTTACATGAACCACAGCTGATTCTGCTCGGATGGGCCGGTGACCCCACTTTGAGAAGCTCTGCCTGGTCTCTGAGCTCCAATCCATGGCACAAGCCAGCAAGCCGTGCGTGGATGCATTTCTGACTTTTGTCCCTGTGGTCCGACAGTCAGAGGGTCAGCCAGCCTGCATGCCAGTGTCCCTGCAGGGTGTCATATTGCTTCAACTGTGCACTCTACAGGACACATGGTTGTTCTTTATCCGAGCAAATCTCCCTCAAAGGCCAGTTTAATGGATTCTGAGATGAAACGGGACGAGGCAGGAGGAAGCTAGGAGAGCAAATGTGAACACTGAGAAGACAGAGAACACTGTGCTGGCTAACATGCTCCAGGCATCACACCAATGGTGTCTGCCATTGTTCCCCAGAGGCGCTCACGGTGGGCATTAACACCCCCACTTTCCAGCTGAGGAAATGAGGGCTCAGAGATCACGGCTAGTAAGTGGTAGACTCAGGTGTGTTCAACTTGAACCCTTCCCTTTTCTTTTTTTGGGGGGTGGGGGGAGTGGATGCACATAAAATTTTCCCCTCAACTTTTTATTTTGAAAAATTTCAAATTACAGAAAAATTGCTAGAATAATACAGTCAATCTCACAGACCCTTTAATTGTTAGCATTTTGCTGCATCTGCACTCTCCTTATCATAATTTTGCTAATCCATCTGAGAATTACTTAGAAACATTGTGTTGATTTACTCCTAAATATTTCAGCTCATCTCCAAAGAACAGGGGCATTCTTCCACAAAACCACAATAAAATCGTCACTCTTGGGAAGTGTAACATTCATACATTACTATTAATATCTGGTTTACTTTACCAATTGTTTATAAAATGCCCTTGATAGCATTGTTTGATTCAGAATCCAATCACATCTTTTTAGTAATTTTTCATCTAGAATGGTTTTTTTTTTCTTTCATAACATTGACATTTTGAAAGAGACCAGGCCAGTTGTTTTGGGGAATATCCTTCAATTTGCATTTTTCCAATTATTTCCTCTTGATTGTATTCTTAGAGCTTCATGTCAGAGGACAAAGGCTTTGCCCTTTTGATTGTACTCCACTGGCTCTTGCCAAGTGAGGATCAAGTTTGACCCTTGGAATTGTTAAAAGGACCAGTGATAGTAAGAAAAACAGCATAGCTTGGAGGAATGGATGCAGGCCTTGAAGAGCAACCTAATCAAGTTCAAGTACTGGCTCCGATCTCC